TTCTGGATGTTTATCAAATGGTATGGTGGCTAAATAAAGTGCTTTTTTAGTTTGGAATGTGCAAGAGTTCAATTTGCTTTTTTATAGCCAAATTTGCAGAGAATATCGAGCAACAGATAACAATGTGACCATTGGGATAGTGTTACAAATTGTACTCCATGTGTAAAAATTTCAATTAGGGTTAGTCTTGGAATGAGAATTGATGATATGATTTAGAACCCTCAAGATGTTAACATGGAGGGATAAAGTGTATATTTCTTAGTATAGGGGGCCAAATGCTACTCACGGCCAAGTACAGGCAAGTAAAGTGTAATTAACTCTTTTTAATAGAGTCAGCTAAAAAAAAAATAACATACAAGTGAAGTAAAAACAGCATTAAAAATGAAGAAAAAAGTATGTCCAAATATCTCTCCTAATAAAATTTCAATTAACAAAAAGGAACAGAGAAACAATTGAATATGGTGGACAATTTATATTTCGTTATTAACAAAAATAACACTAAAAAAAGAATAATATGAAGATAATTTATATCTATTCAAATTAAGAAACATGCATCTGATTTCGTATTGAACCATGTTATTACATCACTTACAAATTTAGCTCATATTACTTGAAAATAATAAAGGTAGAACATGGAAACATTTATGCAAGACTTAAGATTTACTCTACAATGTCTACTATAACAATCTGTTTACTTTAGTCCTTAAAAAAAAATGGCAAGCAACATATTATGCATATTGTTTCAAGTATTGATACTATGTCAAAATCTATAAATTAATCAACCTATTCTAACTCTACTATTACAATTTCTTTGTCTTAAAAAAAAAGGTATGTAAGCTAAGGTGTTGATATTGCCATATTATTTGAAATATTAATGATTATGTTAAAGCATTTTGTATCTTTGTCAAATCTTACTGGTTTTTAAGGATTATAGTTTGATGGTTCTGATTTACACTTCGGCAAGAAAATGAGTTTGTTAGGAACAGAAGGAAGAAAGGACTGAGATAAACATATAATATGATAGTTGAGTTGGAATTATAAAACTAATATAAACTAATTCATTTACATTTATCCTTTTTAAAATTGATGTTACATTTTAACCTTTGTGGTTTAAGTATAATGATATTAAAAGTGTGCAATGACTTTGATAAAACATGACTGTATTGACATTTGTTTGTTAGCGTTAAAAGATATAAATTCTCTAAAGGCTTTAAAAAACAAAAAGAGAAAGCTTATGACCTAATGCATTCAAAAGAATTGGTTAATGAAAATGAAAAATACTGGAATATTATATTATGCAATTGACAATCAAAATTATAAAAAAAATTTAGCATCTAACAATACTACATTTTTGGATGATAAAATCATGCGCAAAAGTACGTGAAGTATTACTAGTTAATATAAAATACAATAAACATGTGACAGCCCCACTTTCCCCTAAGGCGAACTAAAGAGATTAGCGGACTGCTTGCCCAACTCTCGTCGGAACTCATTCGTTCACTCAAACAAAATCGGAATAAAACTATAAGAATCAAATCGAATTGGACGGGCCGCTACCACGTCATCATCCAACCAGGTACAAGTACCCATTATGACATGAGAGGATGTACATTCCGAAATACAAATTTCACATAAACATGAGGAAACACTTTAATATGTACATATTAATAAGTTTACCAACCAAAAGAAAACATTGGATGAAAATACATTTAAATTTTTCCAACTATTGAGGAGCTTTACAAAAGATATTAAAACTAGTTCGACTTGTGCTTCAAAACATCTTAGCCCCAAAAGTGGTTCCCTGTAAGGAAAACAAAGATAACGGGAAGGGGGTGAGCTTACGCTCAATGAGGTACCAAAAGCAAGTAAGAAACATGGAATTTCACAGTCAATTAATCACATATGCGAATCAAATAAAGAAGTGAACAAACAGAACAAACACCATAGACAGAAAGGATATGGGTGGCTCTCAGGAGCTAAATTCCCATTTGCTTCACCGATTTGATCGAAATAATAGTTGACACTCCGTCAACGTTAAAGAAGTAACCAATACCATAGACTCCACTTTCTCCGACTCCTTCCACTTCACATACCCCTACCGGGCCCCAACATCGAACAGAACAGAAGCGGTAATACTCGAGTATACCCGGAATCAAGGGTCTCAATACCCAAAGATCTCAAAACAGACTACCGTGGTTCGTTTTCTAATCGGCCAGGCCCTTGCCGGCCAGACTCGAGTAACTTGCCACAGGGGTTGAGTTCAGAGGTCACAGAAAGGTCGTTGGATACAAGTTTCCAAACGACGTCCGAACAGATACAGATACAGATATCAGATACAGATACAGATTCAGATTCGCACCAAAATTGGCATATGAACAGACAAGAGAATGAGTGTGATAAAGTACACCATCGTCTCTAACAAATTAAACAGATAGTGCAGTCATTTAAATCACAGATTGCAGGGCAGAAATCAAGTTAAACAGCAATGGAGGGGAGTGGTACACTCACCGGTTCAAATACAAACACTTCAAAAGTTTTCACTTCGGATTGGCTTTAATCGCCAAGAAATCCTAAAATCATCAAAGTAAACCAATTGAAGGTTTCACATCTAAAATCGAGTAAACGGAATGCATAAGTAAGGCTCGACTAGATGTCGTATGCTTTCCTAGGTTAAGTACTAATATAGAGCAAAAGATAACAGTTGGTCCTAGGGTTATAAACAACCCCTAAAACCCCTCATTTGTACTAAGATCAATTCAATTGAAGGAAATCACATAGTCCTAAAATTTTGGGCAGCATGCCCTTTGTGTTTACCTATTTTTCCAACCACTAATGGCTTCATTATTTTCCTCAAATCAGTCCCAATATCTCATACAGAATAATCTCATTTCCAAAAGCCGTTCACTAGGCTAAAAGTCATATAAATACAAAAATCAAGCTAGAAACATTTCCGGAAATGGAATTAAGCTCTACACCATAAAAACAGTTTTTGACGTCATTTTGCGGTTTTGGCACCATTGGCACTACGATTATCGGATGGAGGTACAAGACCCATCGTTTCGAAGATAAGAGATAGGGATACAATATTGCAAAAGGTCACTCAGTCCAGTTCATATCACAACTAGGTCAAAAATGCAAGATACTAGACCAGAACCGCAAAACCTGCTGGACAAACCACATTCTGGTTCAAACATCATAAGTTAGGCTACCTAAGTCCAAATCAGGTGATTCCAAAGCCATCCGAAAGCTAAGACATCAGGTTACATTTCTTCAGAAGACCTCAACAATCAGTTCAGAAGTATTCCCAGCCAAAATAACCAATTACAGAAGCAATTCTCAAGTTCAGGTGAAACCAGGGTAGCAGGGGTATTTTGGTCTTTTCATAAGATACGCTACTCCGATTGACCTAAAATTTTGTAGGCATCTCTAAAATATCATTCCCTACAACTTTCATGTTTTAACCCAAGGCCAATTCGGCCTCTAACTATGAGCTACAGTGCCGGGCAGAATGTAGAGTAATGAAACCCTAACTTTTCCAATTTTCTTCCAAAACAAAAATTTCCTGCAATTAACCACTTTTTCCACCTTCTAACTTTATTCTAGATCATTTCCAATCATCATACATAGCCACACCATAACAATCATATTAAAACAGAAAAATCACCCATAAATGGAAAATTTCACCAATTCAACCAAAAATCAAGGAATAACACCAAAAATCATTACTTCAACTACCACAAGTCAAAAATTTAACTTCATTAGGTGGAGGAGAGGGGTTCCTTCACTACTCACCTTAGTAAAACAAGAGAGAGAGCAACTTGTCACCTTAGCTTTCCAAACAACTTCACCAAACACCTCACAATCACTCACTTAAAGGTTTCTATGGAACAAAAGCAAGATTAAGTGGTTGATTAGTTGAATTTGAGCAAGATGGAGGCAAGAATTTGAAGAGTTTTCTTCCTTTCTTTCTTGGAGGAGAGGGCCGGCTATGAAGAGCAAATTTTGAGTGAATTTTTGGTCAATTTTTGAGTTATTTTAACCAAATGGTAAAAGTGTGAATAGTAGTCAAAAAGTGCAACCAATGGCCAAGTGACACTTGTCACTCTATTAATGTATCTCTATCCCTTTGTTCCCTCTCACATCAATCCACATAGCAACCTCTAATTATCTCACAACACCCGGTAATTTAAACCAATATCCGAAACTTAACCTAGTTGGCCGAATTTTCCGAACTTTTCGCCCTAGTGGATCCCACGTCCGGTATATGCTCTTAATTCTTCAAAAACTATGCGATACTAGATAAATTATTTAAAAATCATATTTACTCATAAAAATTATTTTTAAGATTTTCCAAATAAGAAAATGTGGAAAAACGTGCAATTAAAAGAAAATAAAACCTAGCAATTAAGAAAATTACGGGTTCTCACAAAACAAGACTACAATTGACATTATTTATAATAAACACTGAAAGTTAATATGTGGGTGTCTATTATCTAGTTCTTAATCATCCCTTTCATCCATATTGTAATGGAAGGTATAGTATTTTGTATTTACAATTTAAATTTGGATTTTTTTTCTAACGGTATCTTATAGGCATGAATTACCACATAAAAACAGACCATCACAATTATTACACCATTACATTTAGATATTTTCCCGAATAGTTTGAATTCGAGCAATTTAAATTGGTTGACTAGTTTGAGTTCAAACCTCATATATAAAGTTTGAAATCTCATTGAGAATGTCTATTTTAAAGTTTTATGTATATTAGCATGAAATATATACTGTGTCTCTTGTTTGAAATGTTATAAAATATTAATTTATATTAATTTTAAAATTATATAAAATACTAATTTTATATTACTTAAGGACGAAGTAAAGGCCAAGAAACTTAAAACTAAATATCTACGTTTTTTGTAAATATATTTTTCAATCATCCTTTTATCTCATATGTATCAAATCACTATAGTACATTTTTTTAACAAAAACTCTAGAAAATGGTAATTCAAAGAGGCCTAGAGCTCGAGTTGTGCAATCTCCACTCGGCTCGTTTAGGCTCTATTTTGGTTATATGTTGTACTTCCACATTTACCACAGCTACATACGTGCATATGTATGGTAATCATTAAATAGTAACCGAAATCTGACACCATTGTGTAACATTCTTTTATCAAGGCAAAGCCGGCTTTGGGTAGATTTGAGCTCTCTTCATACTCCGAGCACTGTGCTGGAGATTCTAATACTTACTGTCCTATTGTCAAATACGTAAACATGTGATTCATTGCCAATAGCCAACTTTGGGTAGACTATGGCAGTGATGCAGATCTTTCCTTCACCTCCAAAACTTTCAATGATTGAATGGTCAATCTGCAAAAACGAGGGAGAAACATTACTGTAAACTTCCAAGAACAGCAACATTTTTCCCCATTTTTGCCTGGACTTAAACAGTACTATGTACGAATATTTCAGTTGCAGATTAATAAAAAAATATGTAAGGAGCAGAAAACAACGGAAGATCGAAGAAGCTTGAATTGGATAGTAACAAATCAATCAAGTGTATTTCCAACGAAACATATTTCTTAATCAATTTCAGGCTTTCTTCTTTTATGCAATGCAAAAATTTGAGCTCTTTTCATACTCCAAGCACTTAAATTGGAGATTCTAATACTTTCTGTCCCATTGTTGAATACATAAACATGTGATTCATTGCCAATAGCCAACTTTGGGTAGACTCTAGCAGTGATGCAGGTCTTTCCTTCACCTCCAAAACTTTCGATGATTGAGTGGTCGATCTGCCAAAAAAGGGAGAAACATTACTGTAAAGTATAAACCGAAATTTTTTATTTCTAAGAACAGAAAAATCTTCCCCTTTGTCTTTCTTGGTGGAAAGAGCATAAACATCTAGTCAGAATATTGTCTGGACTGTAACACTGTTACAAAGAGAACGGAAATGATGGAATGTTTCAGTTTGTCAATTGCAGATTAACCATTTCATCTCGCCTTGGAAGCTAAAGAATAACATAAGTTTATAGATGCAGGCATGATTGCTGGGATAGAATAGTGTAAGAAAACCAGATAGCATAAGCGATTTATTGGTCAATTCAGTTAACAATTATAGCCAACGTAAACTGAAGGACCATGAGTAAGTACCAAGCTTCTCAACGAAATCATCTCTACAGGATCGACGTCAACAAAAGCCCCGAAAGTGGATTTCTTAACCTCCTCTCTCAAAGATGACCTGTAAATGGTATCAAAACTTGAACGACGACTATCATTGACATGATTTGAAGAAGTTGATTATTGCTGAAAAGCACACCTGTTTTGATCACTGCACATAAGCACGACATAATTATCATGGCCTCTGAATACTCGAAAGAAGACAGCAGTATGTTCAGTCAAGTCTTTTGAAGCCAAGGCCAAAATACCAAATGGCCCAATTACTCCTCCTGTTGCTGCATTCTTTTCACTGCAAAGGAATTGAGGGTCCAGCCATTCGGGATGCATCAATTCAACTTCATCAAGATTTGGCAAGTGAAATGAGACTTCTATGTCAGCCTATGTAGAAAATCTTTCATTAGGTCTCCAGCAGACTCCATCTAATAACTATTAACCCATAAAAGAAACAAACAGTATGATATCTTACCTGTGAAGCTGTGATACCTGTAATTTCAAACATAGTACCTCCCTTTATCTCTTTATTCTGAAGATTTACTTCTTTTCTGCGCAATGTCTCTATCTCTTCAATAGGCCATTGCGATAATTGCTTTCCAGTTTTGTCTAGAAAGATACTTCTGGGGAGCGACTGCAGAATAAATGTAGCATATCAGTTGATGGATTTTTGAGCAGCTAGGACTCTAACCATCTATTGGTTCCTTAACATTCATTTGTTGTTTGTTCCTACGTAATGAACGAAATATGCTTTCTTTAGAAAAACTAGTAAAGAATTGGCATAATAGCAACTTGCCTCAACCATGAGCAACACCCTTCTAGAAAGTAAAATGATAAGCAAAAACCAATGCGAGAAAAATGCAAATCAAGAAGCCAAGTAATCGAGTCATCGGCAAACATGAAGAAAATAGTGTATTGTGCTATATTACTTGAAGTCCAGACCATCCTTTGTTGATGTCATCTGGTTCACCATCCGCCTCCAATACCCATCCCCACAGTATTCTCCTCCTCTTCGCGCTATCATAAAAAGTTTTAGAAGCATAAAATATTCCATAATCGTATCTCAGTTTGACATTGCTATCCATGAAATCAGGATTAACAGTAAATGTGTCTGTTTCTGGTTCATAGGTTCCTATTATGTAGTAGTCACGATCATTAAAACTTGCCTTGAGCACATGCTTGGTACCTGTACCCTGCACGGATGTGTCAAGTCCATTTATGCCATCAACACTAACAGGGTAGAAATCAGGACACTCCCACATTGCTGTTTTATTTGAGAAATGAAGGGGTCTATGACTCCTAGTCCAATTCACAAAATCTCTGCTCTGATACAAAAGAGCTGTCCCGTGACCTTTAATTTGGCTCCCAACGACAACTCGCCAAATTTTGTCTGGGCCTTCCCAGGCAGTTGTAGGGTCTCTGAAGAATTGTGGATCAATGCCATTCATTGGAGTCATCAAAGGATTGTGATCGGATTTTATCCATTCTCTAAGGTAAGGGTCAGATAGATTTTTGGGCACTGCTATGTTCTGAACTTGACGGTTTCTAAAGTCTGATCCAGTGTAAAGAATTACAGGATTTCCCCCAGGAAGAATTGATGCAGAACCAGACCAGCAACCATTGATGTCATAAGGCTCAGTTGGATTAATAGCTTGCTCTATATGAATCCAATCTACCAGATTATAAGATATAGAATGTCCCCAGGATATATTACCCCATACTGCAGAATAAGGATTATACTGGTAGAAAAGATGGTAAATTCCCTTGTAGTACATCGGACCTGTGTGATGTACAATGAAAAATGTCAGACCAAAATATGCTAGTTTCACCTGATTCAATATCGGAAAAACCACTTGACTGATAATTCATGTGATCATTTCTTTTTGAGATCAGCAAGAAGGAACACAGTAAAGAACTTGGAAATCTTTACCATTTGGATCTGCAGGTTCGTTTTTGACCAGTCACCATGTTTGCCATAACAAATGCAAATCATATAAAATAAGCACAAGAAAAAACCAGAATTAACAAGATTAGACTAACATAGAGTTGAAAAACGTTATCAGGACCCAATCATGATTAAGAGTACATACCATTCATCCAGTTTTTAGGAGGTTGGAAGTGGTAGGCTGTCCTATGGGGCTGGTTCTTGGGATTGTACTGGAGATCCTTTTGAACTCCATGAGAATAACCAACTCGGCCTCGATAAGCAATGAAGAAAATCTGCAGTATCAGTATCCAAAACAAGTACCCCTCCATGGTTTCTTCCTGTAATGGCAAAGAAATAGTTTAATTAAGGTGTAAACTGAAAACCAGCCATCCTCTGTTGGTCAAAACTTGCATTCTCTGTCTTCCAGCAAAGTAAAAATAAAATAAAATCAGATATTAATAGTATATCATACTCGATGAGCTAATTAGCCAATCAAGTTGCAACTTGCAACCTAAAATAAAGTTCAAGATTTGACTAATAATTAACCTCCACATGGTTCCAAGGACGGTCAAACTGATTGTAGAATTGTTTAAATTAGGATGAATAACTAGGCCTCAAATTGGCAGTTAGCAATAAGTTGAATGCATGGTCAAGCGTGTAAAATAATCCATGCTACAGTATCCTTTCTGGCTTCCCAAAAGCTCAAAGAAGCCTGGAACACCCCCCCCCCCCCCAGCACCACCAAAACAAAAAAACGCAACCAAAAAAAAAGTCATGATTAAGTTGTCAGTATAAATAGACATATTGCAATATTTACTTTACAGAAAATAGATTGCAAAGCAAAGCATCCATATATCTTCATTTCACATTACATTAATGTTTGGATTGAAGATTTTTTGGGAATAAAAATGTAGTACTTTTGGAATGTAACGTATGTGAAATAAAAATGTGATTGAAAATTTTTTTTAAAATGGTGATTAGAAACATGTTTATGATGTAACAAAAAAAAAAATTCGCTAATCCAGATTAAGAGCACTGTAGATTGTGAGTTTTCCTCAAAAAGTTTTTAGAATTTTTTTGAAATGTTTATGAATTATCTTTTTACCTCACACATATCATGTTTATAGAATGTTTATGTATTTTAAAAAAAAAAAAAAAACTCCAAATCAAACGGATTCTGTATCAAGCAATCTAGACTCTAGTGTGTGTGTGTGTATACATACATATATTGGGTGAATGGGAGATTTTCAATTCAATTCCCTCTATTTACAATCCCTCCTACTTTACCATTCAACCCAATTCTCCTCTAAATCGGTAAAGTACATTTAGCATAGTCCAAAAGCAAACAACATCTTTAATTTTCTTTTTCTTTTTTTTTTTGCAGATTACAATTAGCATAGCCCAAAGCATCCATATAGCATGTGTTTTTTTTTTTTAATTTATTTACTTATTTTTTGCATGCCATTTACTTGCTAACCGGATTAAATCTTGTACTATTCCACTGTGCGTAAATTATCAAAGTTTCAGATTAGAATTCAGAGCATTTTAGTTGACATCCTTATGTAACATGCACTTCATATGAGTGATAGAATGATAAGAAAAAGAGAATGCTAAAACTGTAAATTTAATCAACTTTTCTTTCCTCCCTCTTAACAATATGTCTAATTGAAGAGAATTTATGCGTCAACTAGATATTTGGGTCACTTTTTCGAAAAGGAGCAAAGAAAAAGATATCTCGGTCTTACCGTTTTCTTTTTCTAACTTCTTATCAAATTATTTTTTTGTTATGGTTTCTATCCCTCCTAATAATGGCCTTTACTCTTTTAATAAATTTGAATTATGTCTTCAGTATAAGAATAGAGTAACTTTGTTTAGCGTAGTTTTCATTGTTAGATAAGTAATTTATTTGACTTCCCGTTTGGATTGTATTTTCCGTCATTTTTCATGAAAAAATTACTGTAACGATTTGATGCATTTGAGAGAAAAAATAATAAGGAAATGTGATCATGGAAAACGATGCAATTTCCGGCAGAAAATGGCAATCCAAACAGGGCTCCATGACAAAGTGTCACGTCGAATTTGAAGTAAATACATAACGTTTGTTTAGTTATTAGGTCTAATTTTGTATTCATGAAATGCTTGATGAATTTTATCACATTAATTATTATCCATTGATGTATAAAATTATTTCAAAGTTGGCATGATAGTTAATTTGAACATTTATAATACAAAAATTTTTCTGCTGGATAAGAGTTTTTTGGTTCCGTCTATCCCACAACAATTGTAGCTTTATAATTAACCAAGGAACATAATTTCCAATGTTAAATTCTTACCATTTGGATCTACAGGTTCAACATCAACCAATCGCCGTTTTTGCCATCACACATGCAAAAGTGCAAGCACATATAAATCAGCAAAAAAAAGCCGATGGAGAAAAATCACAGATACTATAAGTGAACAAAAACATAGACTGGAACAAAGTTATTGGAAGAAAAAAAAGAAAAAGAAAAAGAAGAGAATATTGGAATTAATGAAATTTTTCGTTAGATAGAATTAGTTGATAGAGGCTCATGCTTTTACTCCCTAATTACTGCATGCAACATTCTAAAAATATTAGTTTTGTTATTTAAAAATGATAATTCTTTTATGTTTATGTTATTTTTTTTCATGCTATATATATATAATCTAAGTCTGATATGAAGTTAAATCAAATAAATCCAATCCAAACCCTACCTATGAGTAGGGCCATATATAAATGATTCATTTTAAAAAAAAATAAAACAGAAAAAGTAACAAAGGAGGTCATTACAGACCAGTGGCGGATTGCAATGTATCTATTAGCAAACCTGCCCTGGATTAATTAATTTCATCATGCCTTGGCTACATACTGGTATCCTACCAAAGATGCGATTGATAATATTGGAAAGAATCATAAAGCAACAGGAGCTCAGAAGCATTTCTTGAATTTGATCGCCAAAAATCTATTCCTCAATCAATTTCGGCTTTTCTTCCTTTGTGGACGACTGGAAAAATTGAGCTCTCCTCATGCTCCAAGCACTTAAATTGGCGATTCTGATACTTTCTGTGCCATAGTTGAATACATAAAGATGGGATTCCTGACCAATTGCCAACGTTGGATAGACTCTAGAAGTGATGCAAGTCTTTCCTTCACCTCCAAAACTTTCAATGATCGAATGGTCAATCTATAGAAAAGAAAAAAAAAAAAGAAAAAAGAAAAGGTGAAGCATAAATCTGACTCTGAAGAACAGAAACATGTTCAGTTTTCCACTTCTTGGTAGCAAACGCAGAAACATCTATCCCTTGAGTGTTTTTTGTCTAGCCCAGGAAAAATCTCAGGAAAGGGACCCCGAGAAAAAGATGTTTCAGTTCATGAATTGCAGATAAAGTAAACCATTTCCGGGTCTATGCCGATCATGTTGAAGTATAGATATAGTTTTGCCCACAATATTACAAGATCAGAGAGTAAAGAAAACCTGACAGTAATAGGGATCTATGTGTTCTTTGGTTCAACTTTATTAGCAAAAGAAAATTTCTGGAGCATGGGCAGCATACCAGGCTTCTTAGTGATATTTTTTCTGCAGGATCTACATCGACAAATGCCCCAAAGGTGGATATGTCGACCTCCTCTCTCAAAGATGACCTGTAAAATTATGTAACATATGATGGAACAAACTATGATTTGCATGACTTTAGGTGGACTTGAATTACATGCTTACCTGCTTTGATCACTGCACATGAGCACAGCATACTTGTCATGGCCTTTGAATACTTGAAAAAAGACCGCAGTATATTCAGTCAAGTTTTCTGAAGCCAAGATCAGCAAGCCAAATGGACCGATAACTCCTCCTGTTGATGCATTCTTTTCGCTGCAAAGAAGTTGAGGATCAAGCCATTCGGGATGTGTTAACTCAGCATCATCAAGATTTGGCAGGTGAAATGAGACTTCTATGTCAGCCTGTGCAGCAAAAGTTTCTGTTATTTCTTCAGCAACGAGTCAACTCAACCAGATAACAGAAAGTTTAGATGGATGAATTCTTTTACCTGTGAGGCTGTGATGCCTGTAACTTCGAATATGTTACCTCCCTCTATCTCCTTATTCTGAAGATTAACTTCATCTTTGCGCAAACCCTCAATTTCTTCGATTGGCCATTGTGATAGTTGCTTTCCACTTTTGTCAAGCAAGATAGTTCTAGGGAATGACTACAACACAGTTTGGGTCACTCGTGCTGAAGTTTAGAGATATGCACAGATTTAAAGCGTGTCTTGAGAAGTTATTTAATCAAATTATAGCGTCTAAGGACTTTAAGGCTACTGTTTCAAAACTCAAATTTAGATTTTCTTTTCAAGAAAACTGTATAGTAGCAACCTAATAGAGAATCTGAGAGAAGAACCTGAACTTCTAGAGAAACAGATTAATGATATGCTCCCGAAATTCTAAAACAAAACAATAGAAGAGGATAGCCAGAAAATGCAGAAAGAAGAGTGAATCAAGTCGGCTAACTGCAAAGAATAGAAGTCAAAGCTATAAACTACCTGAAGTCCAGACCATCCTTTGCTGATGTCATCTGATTGATCATCTGCCTCTTTTACCCATCCCCACAATATTCTCCTTCTCTTGGCTCCATCGAAAAACGTTTTAGAAGCATAGTATATACCATAATCATATCTCAGTTTCACATTGCTATCCATGAAGTCAGTATCAGGAAAGAAATCATCTGTTTCTGAATCATAGGTCCCTATTATGTAGTGATCATGACCGAAAAAGCTTGCCTTCAACACATGCTTGGTAGTTCTACCTAGACCAGAAGTGTCAATTCCCTTTGTATCATTGGTACTGACAGGGTAAAAATCTGGACACTCCCACATATCTGTTTTATTTGAGAAATGAAGGGGTTTATGACTCTTAGCCCAGTGTACAAAATCCTCACTTTGATAGAGAAGTGCTGTCCCATGACCATTAATTTCACTTCCAATGACCACTCGCCATCTTTTGTCCTTCCCCAGCCAGGCAGTTGTTGGATCTCTGAAAAATTCTGAACCAATGGCATCAACTGGAGTCATCAGAGGATTTTGATCCAATTTCGCCCATTCTAAAAGGAACGGATCAGATAGATTTTTGGGCACTGCTATATTTTGGACTTGACGGTTCGTAGATTCCACTCCTGTGTACATGATGGCAGGATCTCCACCTGGAAGAATTGTTGCAGAGCCAGACCAGCAACCTCTAATGTCATAGGGATCCGTTGGATCAAGAGCGTCTTCAAGATGAATCCAATCAACCAGATTATAAGATATAGAATGTCCCCAGGAGAGAATACCTTCACCCCACACTGCAGCATATGGATTGTACTGGTAGAACAGATGGTAAATTCCTTTATAGTACA